CTTTTTCTCTATTTCTTTTTCTCTTTACTTTTTCTTATCCTACTTATTAAACACCATCGTTCTATTCCATAATATTTCATTATTGTATGAATTTTGCCTGAGCATACCTAATTTTATCATTGTTATCTAAATGCTTTTAAATGTATGCTTGTAAATTGATAAGCTTTTACTCTCTCTCTCTCTCTCTCTCTCTCTCTCTCTCTTTCTCTCTTTCTCTAACTCACTCTCTCTTTCTCTCTTTAATAACTATATTCCGTGTACCACGTAAATCCAACTTAATTAGTTTCTACTTGCTTATTAGCTTTTAAATTGCTCGTAATTAATCCTCCAGTTAAGCCAATGTTAATCTAACTTATTCAATGACGTATTATACTTTCGATATTTAAACTTTAACAATTTCATTCCAAGATAAACAATGAAATTTTATTCCCATCTTTCTCTTTCCCCATGACTTATTTTACACTTATTCCGTCTTATCTTGTAAACATTCATACGTTCGATTAACAAATTTTCTTCGATTTTAAATCTATCCATTTTTTCTTTCTTCTTCTTCTTCTTCTTCTTCTTCTTCTTTTTTCTTTCTTTCTTTCTCTTTTTTTATTTTTTAATTTAAAAATTTTTTTTTTCTATTTATATCGTTCGTTCTTAACGCGAACGAGTCTTCCTCGAATTTCAAATGGAATGTAAAGTTATGAATTAAAAAAAAGAAAAAAAAAAGAAAAAAAAAAAAAAAGAAAGAACAAAAGAAGAAAAAAGAAAAAGAATACGGAAAATGTGCACTTGCATATGAGAATATGCGCTAATGCTATATGAATTATTTAAAAAGAAAAATTACTTTTCGAGAACGTTCAGCTTTCTTTTTTTTTTTCTTTTTTTTTTTTTTTTCTTTTTTTTTTTTTCTTTAACTGACTCTACCTCGCGAGTAAGAACTTCGAATGTACCAACCTCTCCGAAAAATATTTTCGTTCTTCAGAACAATTTACACGAGGGAATAACACATATCCATATACATGTATGTATGTGCGTGCGTGCGCGTGTGTGTGTGTGTGTGTGTGCGTGTGTATGTATGCTCGTGTGTAAGCACGTAAGAAAAGAAAAAGAGAAATAGAGATAGAAAAGTACTATCACGTATCGTTGCAAGTTTTCTCTCTCTCTCTCTCTCTCTCTTTCTCTCTCTCTCTCTCTCTCTCTCTTTCTCTTTCTCTCTCTCTCTCTCTCTCTCTCGACATAAACGATACTGCAGATATAATAAAGAAGCAAAAATGTTTTTCCAGCTATGAATATAGAACGGCAAGAACAACGATGACAACTACGAGTTGCCACGTCTAGCTGGTATCTCTTACAAGCAACTAAATGTGTTTGATCTTTTATATGAAAAAGGATAAATGAAAATGGACGTAGATCGATGAACGATGGTCAAAATCAATAAACCATCAACACGAATTTATCTCATTTATTGTAGAACAGAATGACAAATGTTTCACTTACTTCACAATTTACTATGCTATAATTTCTCTCTTTCTTTCTCTCACTCTCTCGCTCTCTCTGACTTTTCATTATTTCTTAATGATACGAAATTAATTTATCGATTTATCGTAGACATGTATAATTTTATAAAATATACAATAAAAAAAAAAAAAAAACGCGATTCGTAATTGAATATAAAAAAAAAAAAAGATGACGTATGAGGATATAATTATATGATGAACGATATATGACAAAAAAAATGATTAAAAAAGCAAGAAGATTAAATATTATATAATATAAATATATATATATATATATATATATATATATATAAAAGATGCGATTAAATATTGAGTTTAAAATATCGTCAAAAAAAAAAAAAAAAAAAAAAAAAAAAAAAAAAACAAACACGTACGTACATAATACAAAAGAATCATAAATACAAGATTAAAGAGAAATGAACGAAAGTAATGAGAAATAGAGTGCATATATATAAACGGATGTACATACATACATACATACATACATACATACATACATACATAGATACATACATACGCTCACATGTAGTGAAACAGTGACAAATAAAAGTGACTCGGAAGGAAGGACTTGTGTTCATCTTAGGAGAAACTCTTGAGAGTTTCTGAAATTAAATGTCAATCTACTGAGACATAAAGTGAGTGAGTAAAAGAGTGAGTAAAAGAGTAAGTGAGACGGAGATAGAGAAGGAGAGAAGGAGAGCAAGAGAGAGAGAGAGAGAGAATGAAACAGAAGGGGTTGAAGGAAGCTTTTTGTAACAACGAACTTTTCTTGAACAGAGCACTCCCCCCACCCTCTCTCTCTCTCTCTCTCTCTTTCGTTGATAGAGCCTCTTCGATGAAGAGCCAAGCATTTTACTTTTCACAGTTCGTCGAAAGCTTCGGCAAAGAGTTTACTCGTCTATCGTCCCGTTCGGCTTTGCAATCGCGTAACCGGAGATTGGAAATTACTTGCCGCGAGCATCGCCATTGCTAAAGAGAGATAGATAGATATATAGATAGATAGATAGATAGATAGATAGATAGATAGATAGATAGATAGATAGAAAGAGAGAAAGAGAGTAAGTGAGAGAGAGAGAGAGAGAGAGAAAAAGAGAGAGAGCTTGACTCCTCTCCACGTGGGATTTATGGAAGAAAGCTATTAAATTTATTACACGCGATTGGGCTCAACGAGAGATTATGATCGTGGAAGATCGAGGGTCGACCGATTGAATAATGAAATAACTCTCGATCGTCGTTGTCGTTATGATCGAGGGCGTAACGAGTTGCGATACATCGATGTAACTCAATGCTTCTATACATAATATATACATATGTATGTATATATATATATATATATATATATATATATATATATATATATATAATCGCGGGAGCTTACCCACAACCCTCCATTGGAACTTTCGTCTTATAATCAAACCGATTTAGGATTCAACATTAATTTTGACCTCTAGCAAAGGTCGATTTAGAATAAACAGAATTATAAATTGCTTCAAAATAGTATATGTTATCGTTTAAACGATTATACATTTCATTTATAAATGATATTATTGATATTTATTGCTATATATATATATATATATATATATATATATATATATATATATATATATCAATAGATATATATTTGTCTAAGGTATTAATTGAATACTATATTAGATAATATATTATATTATCTATTGCAATGTCTACAGTTGTATGTTCAAATGCAAATGATTCTCCATTTTTAAAATTATGAACGACAATGACGTCGAATAGGCGGGATTCTAGAAAAATAAAAAAGAAAAAAAAAAGGAGAAGAAGAAGAAGAAGAAGAAGAAGAAGAAGAAGAAAGAAAAGAAAAATAAAAAAGATAGAGGAAAGAGAAAAAAATAAAAAAGGAAAAGGAAAAGAAAAAACGGGAGAAAAGATTTGAAAGTCATTATAAAAATCATTTGTTTTTCAAGCCTTCCGATGGTATCGTAAAAATAAAATAATGAATGGATTCGTCCTCGCAGAGCGCGTTTACCAAAGGAAAACGTTTTACGGGGCAAAGATCTTAACGGTGAATTTACATATAGGAACAATAGCTTTCGGCAAAAATGGATTCGTTCGTTAAATTCTCTCGTAGCTTTGCATCGTAAAAGAGTTCGACGTTAGAATCGTTGGAATTTTAAATCCAAGAATTTTATTATTATTTTATCCATCCACGATTTTCCCTTGTATCGATATAAAATATACTACCATCTTTTTCTTTCTTCTTTATTCTCTTTCTCTTCTTTCTTTCTTTTTTTCTTTTTTCTTTTTCTTTTTTTTTTTTTGCTTTTGCTTTCTTTTCTATTACTATGTCATCCTTTTCCATACGTGTGCACAAAATATATATGCATATGTTCTTAATATCGAACAAAGAAGAGGCACATGGCCCGTATACAAAGTATATTCGGCCCTGTTAAATTGCTTTGCAACATATATATATATTAAATATATAGGTCGAAGGTCGAATAATTCGTTGAAGAAAATAGTATCAGATGTAGGTACATATATGTTCTTTGAGAAATTGGATTCTTGCATTTCATATAAATAAATTTATTGTTTGGAAATAAATATATTACTTTCTCTCTCTCTCTCTCTCTCTCTCTCTCCCTCTCTCTCTCTTTTCTCTTTTTTCATTTTTTAAAAGCATTGTGTTCGACGCGACGGTATTTCGTCGTATTAAAAAAGAAGAAAAAAAGAAAAGAAAGAATGAAAGAAAGATTATGCTAAAAGAATTCTTGACGCATAGTAAACGCAATAGAAGCATTAGTATCCTCGATCAAACATTAAGTATGCTTCATCGCCACTCGGTTGATTTTCTAAATGCTATCGAAGAGGCACCGCGAAATTCCAGGATTATTGGAATAATCAAAATTCAAATAGTTTCGATTGTGCATAGCTACGTCGTTATCTGAGAGACAATAAATGTTATCCTACAATGTATAAACCTTAAGTAAGATACGTGCTTGTTATTTCCTTTTGTTAAGAAAATTAACAAAAGAAAGAGAAAGAGAAAGAGAGAGAGAGAGAGAGAGAGAGAGAGAGAGAGAGAGAGAATAGCCATATAATTTTTATTTAAAATATTTCTAATGTATCGTAAGCAAAAGGAAAAAGAGAGAAAAGAAAAGGAGAAAGAAAGAGAGAAAAAGAAAAAAGAATTTTTTGTTCGTTTTGTTTTTTTAAACAAAATTATTTACAAAAAAAAAAAAAAAAAAGAAAAAAAAACGTTCTTCTGTATCGAATCGAAGAAATGAATTATCTTCTTTTTGAAAAAAAAAAAAATATATATATATATAATTCTCTTTCTCCTTTATATCTTATTCTTATTTTTTTTTTCCTTTTTTTTTTTTACCTTAATAAAGTAAGACTCTTGTAGACGGGGCGAATGAAAAAAAAAAAAAAAAAAAAAAAAAAAAAAAAAAAAAAAAGAAGGAAAAAAAAGCGAAAAGAGAAAAAAAAAATTTTGTTCCTCTTTCATTACAGAGAACCAGTACCAATCTCTGGGGCGAATGGATGGGCGTAATGCACGGTGACGAGATCGAATACGTATTTGGAAATCCTCTGAATATGTCCTTGAATTATAGCGATAAGGAGAGGGATCTTTCCATACGAATGATCAAGATTTTCTCTCAATTCTCTTACGACGGGTAAGTCGAAGTTTTCAAATTTTATCCAATCTATCGAATCGGGTATTCGCCTTTCACGTTTATCTCTCCCTCCATAGAAAAAAAAAAAAATATATATATATATATATATATACATATACATATATATAGAAAGAGAGGAAGAAGGGAGAGTGCGCAGGGAGAGGGAGGAAAGGGGTGGTTAGGGATGGTAGAGGAACATAGTATGAAAAAGTTTCATTGCAAATTCACGTATCTCCAACGTATTCAAAATTGATCCTTTTTCTAAAGTTAACGAGATTAACGAAAAACTTTTCGTTAGCGAAAAAATATCTACGGGGGAGGGGGAGGGAGAAAAAAGGAGTGGAAAAAAAGAGAAGAAGAAAAGAAAAAAGGAAGAAAAAAGAAAAATAAAAAGGCCAGAAAATGTGTTCGTTTCTCCATTCGTAGTGAAATACGTGAGTTTTCGAAAGAAAGAAAAAAGTAAATAAATAAAAATAAAAAAAATATAACAGGGATGACCATTGTCTGACAATACAGACTCAAATTTCCCAAACCCGTATTTAATTTTCCAACAAACAACATGACCCAAGTATGCCGGCAATTTGCACGATCGAGAACTACCCTCTCTCTCTCTCTCTCTCTCTCTCTCTCTCTCTCTCTCTCTCTCTCTCTCTTTTTGTACCAGTGAAATTAATCGAAACTTTGGGTTTAATTCGAAATTCAATTGTTCGTATATTTGTTGAATGGTAGTCAATTGTTAGAAATATAAACGGAGAATAAAATCCATTCGATGAGAATTTCCTTTCGATTCAAATAATGTAAAAAGAAAAATAAAAGAACAAAAAAAAAAAAAAGAAAAAAAAAGAAAAAAAAAATAAAGGAAAAAAAAGAAGCATAAGGAAAAAAGAAGAAAAGAAAAGAGTAGAGAGAAAAAGGACGAACGAACGAAGTAGAAAGAAAAGGAAAAAGAGAAAACAAAAATAGAAAAGAAAAAAAGAATCTGAAGGAAAAGTTAAAGGGACAGGTAAATGTATACATAAATCTTTTACGAGTTAGCGTCAGTCAAAAATAGAAATCGCATGAAACATTACGACAGCTCGAAGAGAAAAAAAGGCGGGGGTTGGGGTTGGTGTTGATGTTGGGGAAGAGACCGCATCGAGAAAGAATGACACAAATTTATCGAGATTTAAGTTTATTATGACGTATCGCTCTTGTATCCTCACAAAGTGAGAGGAAAAAAAAAGATGAAAAGGTTTGAAGGTAGGTGGTGAAAGGGGAAGGAAGGGACGAAGAAAAGAGAGACGAACATATCGAAATATATTATTTAATCTTCTTTTCTAACGAAATCACGATTCTCAATTTTTAATTTATTGTAAGAGAAATAAGATTATATTTTTCGTGTTTTAGACAGAACGAAACATCCTTAAATCTTTACGTATTAACTAATTGACAATATAAGTTTGTTCCTTGCTTTTATACTCAAAAAGTAACCGGTAAACGTAAAACGTGAGTGGATATCTATTGAAATATTTAATTACTTCGTGGCTTCTCTGGTAGTTTCTCTAATTTGAACTTTGTGAAAGATACGGCTTCGAATCTTACCTCGTGTAGGTTCATATGTGTGTATTAAACGTACTTACGTTGGTATATATATATATATATATATATATATATATATATATATTTGTATTCGTGTGTGTGTATAGATATAAATAGATATGTTTCGTATCTGTACGAATCGCAACTTCGAATGGTTTACTTCGTCGAGAGCTTATCCACGATACTGTTCCAAAATGGAAGCTTTAAGGGATTACTATCCTAGCGATGTCCTGTTACCCTGCATCAGAATTAACTGTGTCTGGTCACTAACGTAGTGATACTACGTGTTACCAACGGAGCAACCGACCAACTATAAGTTCTCGTTGAGAGATTTCGTGAAAATGAATCGTCGAAAGCTTCTATTTGCCAATGGTAATTTCCCCTTCTTCTGACTCCCCCCCACCCCACCCCTCCGACCATACCACTATCTTTTGTTTGTACCTCTATCTGTGTTTACGTAATACAGTATTATTTACTTGATCCACGAATCTCACTCGTCTCTTACGTCCTTCGATCTGTTATGATAATGTCACTCCTGAGTACGTTTATAAACTAAGGAATAAAAGATTATTAGATACAATAATAATAAAGGACGACTATTAGATTTACGAACGTTCGTATTTACTTACTTTCGACGTTAAACTTTATAACAACGTATTAATATTGGGATTGCGCACGCAAAGATACGTATAATATTATTGTACGTATTTGTGATTTATTGTTTCGATTGAATATGACTTTATCGTTTTTCTGATTTTTTTCTTTTCTGTTTTTTTTTTTTGTTTTGTTTTGTTTTGTTTTGTTTGAAGAGAGAGAAGAAAAAAAATAAAAAAAATAAAAAAAACGGAGTATATTTTCACAAGGATATCGATTAGTTCAATATGAAAAAATCGTCGAACGATGAATCATGTATGTAATCAAAAAAAAGAAAAAAAAAAAAAAAAAAAAAAAAAAAGAAAAAGAAGAAAAAGAAGAAATAAAAAAATTATCATTTTAAATAAAAGAAAAAGAAAAAAGAAAAAAAGAAAAAAAACTAATCATGAGACGTAAATTTTTAATGGTTTAATTATAGATTTAATTTATTATAGATATAATTTATAGATTTTAATTTTATATTAGACCGTAGAAAACACGTGCGTTCTTGACTTTATAATCAAAGCTATAATTTTCGCAATTATAGCTATAGGTTTCGCAACGATAAATGACGCGTTCCGATGAAAATATACATAGGTTCATTTCTTCTTCTTCTTCTTCTTCTTCTTCTTCTTCTTCTTCTTCTTCTTCTTCTTCTTTTTCATACTTCCTTGTTTTTTTTATCGACCGACGCATTTTATCATACAATGTGGCATGATTAATGAATAGAGAAACGTTGAATACGAATGAAAGGAAAAAAATTGAAGTGAAAGTATTTAAAGAGAGTGGCGTCATTCAAATGAGAGAGAAACTCGATGACGATTGAAAAAGGAAAAAATAAAACAGTTTATATGCTCGCGATAAGAATGTGTACGTAACGGGGAAAACGAAAGGAAAAAAAAAAAGAAAAAGAAAAAAAAAAAGAAGAAAAAAAAAAAAAAGAAAGAAAGAAATGAAGAAAGTATTATCGGCGAATCGAAAGATACTTGACTTGGCAAAAACGAGAGATAAATGAGATGATCGATCAAACGAATACACGATCTTTACGATCGATCAAATAGAATATCGTTCAATTATTTCGCTCGTAACAAATGAATTCGTTTAATTCAATTTAATTTCTCTTGTTTCCTTTTTTTCTTTCCCCTTTCTTCTTCCTTTTCTCACTCTCTCTCTCTCTCTCTCTCTCTCTCTCTCCCTCTCATCCTTTTCTCTCTCTCTCTCTCTGTTACTTTTTCTTTCTTGCGAAGAAACCCGATTTAAAACTTATCTCGTAAGTTTAAAAGCGAACGAATTGTTAGTTTCGTTCGTAGCAATCTTCTATTAGCAAAAGAAACGAAACTATCTCTCGTAGTAATCGAACGTACAAATGCTTTCTTCTTTCTCTCTTACATACACACACACACACACACACACACACACACACACATATATACGTACATATATATATACATACATACATGCATATATATACATACATACGGAGAAAGAAAGAGAGAGAGACAGATAGAGGTAGAGAGATAGATAGATAGAGAAAGAGAGAGAGAGAGAGAGAGACATAGTTCACAGTCGAGATAATCGATACACCAAGAGCTAGTAGAGTTGGAATTTCGTGGCATTCCTCACTCCTGTTTCCCCAGTTGCAAGTGTTTACTCTTGAAATTAACCAAAGCTGTCTAAATCGAAGCAAAGCCACGAGGTTCTGATTGCTCTACTGATGAAACCCCACGTTCTCCGTGTTCCACGAACTGAATACACTACCACAAACATACGACATGTGACATCTACTAAATGTACATACACAATATATATGTATATATATATATATATATATGGACATACGTTCGCACACAGAGGGAGAAAGAGAAAGAGAGAGAGAGAGAGAGAGACCCGTATATAGTCATTCGATTCTTCCAATGAAAAGCAGCTCATCGTATCCAAAAGAAAAGCAATTTTCCAACGTACGTTCTTCTCATCCATCGTATGTATCTACCAACCTAAAAACCTTATCATTTCGAAGGCCGATCCAAGCCGTCCCGATATAACTGAGATCAACGAAGATGATTCCGAATCTTCGGGTCAATGTAGTCCTTTTCCTATTCGAATCCTTTATCGATCCCATATGCCATGGCACGCACGCATGTGAACATATCCTCTCTTTCCCAGCCCCCATCCCACCTCACCCCACCCCAATCCGCCCCCGCATCCCTCCCTCCCTCCCTCTTTCTCTTTCCCTATTCCCTATTTCCTAATTCTCGTTTTTCCCATTTCAACGAGCCTTCAAGATTTCTCCATCCAAAAAGATCAAATGAAAGTCTTTAAATGCTTTCGATTTATTTATCGGCATCTCCTCGCTAATTTCTTTTACCATTTACAAATCATCAAATTCTACATTTACAATCAAGTTTATTTAAAAGATCTTATTTATTTAATTAGCTGATTATAACTTCAACATTTTGATAAACGATCGTTCAATTTGTATTATTAGAAAAATTCGTAATGTTCAATTCGAATATCATTCATTTCCTATCGTCGTGGAAATAATATCCTTTGAAAAAATTAAATTCCAAAATCTAAATCAATTGTCGCAATAGATGTCTCGAGTTGATTCCAAAGGTGAAACAAAGAAATAAGTCCTAAGTTGAAAAGGTGGAACAGGGGGGGGGGGGGGGGGGATTTAATTTTATTTCTCTCCCCTCCACCATCACCATCATCACCACCACCACCACCACCACTATCACCCCTCATCCCTCGTTTTTTTCTTCTTTCCTTTCGAACAATAATAAAATATTCGCGCGCGACAAAGTGAAGAAACAATATGGGATAAGAAAGTAAAAGAAAAAGAATGATCTCAGTCACTAGTTCGCCAATTCGAAATGATGGAAATTGCGATAGAAATAAAAGAGGTAAAAGAAGAGAAAAAAAAAAAAAAGAAAAAAGAAAAAGGAACAGGAAGAAAAAGAAAGAAGGAAGAAGAAAAAATAAAAGATAAAAAAAGGATGGAAAAAGGAAAAAAGAAAAAGGAGAGAATAGAAACGAAATAATAAAAGATAAAATGAACGACGACGTCCCAATTATACATAGCTTTTCATCATAGATATTCCCTTGGTTTAATACTTTTCATTAGGATTCTATCCTTCACAATTTTTAACATTATTTCTTA